GCGGGGTCACCACTCGGGATTCGGCTCTCGACGCCTCCCTTGGCGCTCGCCCCCGCGGCGTGCCGGGGGAGCGTCGGAACGCCCATGGTGCGTATCCAAACGCAGAGCCGAGCGCGGTCGCTAGCGGGTGCGATTCAGGGTCGCGGGCTGCGCCACGTTGCGCAGTGCAGACCCCCGCGATGCCCACTGCCGCCATGCGACGCACGCAAGCTCGCCTGGGGGCCGACCTGAGGGCCGCCCATACCGCGGTCGCGGCGCTCCCGTCCTTTCGAGCCAGCACCTTGCCCCCCTTGCCAGGGTGCCGCACCGACGCCCATAGCGTCGCGCCGCGCGCCAGCTCTGCGCCTGCCCTGCTGGCCGGGCGCTCGCAGGGCGCAGCGGTTATGCTGCGTGCTACCCGCGAGCGGGCTGCCATTGCGGCCACCGCCGGGGCGGCACAACCCAGAGCCGTGCTTCCGTGGGGCCACAGCGCAGCACGCAGCGAGGTGTCGCCGGTTCCCAGCCTTCCCGACTCCTGCTGCGCCGACAAGCGTGCCGACTCCTGCGACGCCCAGCTCACCGAGTCCCGCGGCGACCAGCTCACTGACTGTCATCCCTCCCAGCTCACCGACTTTCGCACCGACCAGCTCGCTGACTCCCGCGTCGACCAGATCGCCGACTCGCGTGCCGAGGGGCTCGCCGACGCCCGTGCCGTCCAGCGCGCTGACGCCTTCACTTGGTCCGACTCCCGTGCCGATCCGCTCGCCGGGTTAGCACTGCGCACCGGCCGGGTCGTGGGCCCGACGACCACGGTTGCGAAGCGCGTGCGGGACGAACGGCGCGCTTTGGCACGGTTCCGCGCCTCGGTCGATGCTTGCGACGCCGCCCTTACCGAAGTTGAATTCGGTCGAGGCGCGGAGGCTGGGGGCCCAAGTCCGGTTGAGCTTTTGCAGTCGTCCTTGGCCGAGCTCGAGCGCCAGAAGGCGGCGTTGCGCATCGCCCGCTCTCGCACTGCCGAATGCATCAGAGGTTGCGTTTCCGCTTCGGGCTTTTCGGGTGGAGGCGCCGCCGCAGCCGATGCCGGCGCGCCCCTGAGTGCTCCCACCACGGCCGGTAGCGCTACGCACCGCCAATCGGGAGTCGCGCCGAGCACCGGCGATGTCAGCGAGGCCCCCCGCGCCGAACAGCGCAAACGCAGGCGTGTTCGGGCGCTCGCCGGAGCGGCAGCTACCACTCCGGCCAATTCGTCTGGTCGCGAGCCGCCCGCGCCAGCCTTCGTGGCAGGGCGCCAGGAGTGGCCTGCCTCTCTGTCGCCTGCGTTTCCCGAGGGGGCTTCCGAGGCCCTCGGGGTGCAGGTGGACAGCCACTGTCGGCTCGTCCCCTCTTGCGACGACCAGCGCACTCGTTCGCTTAAAGCGTTTGACGTGTGGTGCGTCGAGCACACAGGTGTGGCACTTGCCACTTGGGCCCGCAGCGGCATCTTGCTCGGGAGAGCGCTCGCGACCTTCGGCGCGTGGTTGTACGATGCTGGCCTCCCCCGCCTCGTCCTTGTGAATGCGATCCGGGGAGCGCAGGCTCTTCAGCCCCAGTGGAGGGGCGTCCTCGCCGAGGCGTGGGATGTGGCAAAACGGTGGATCCCTTCCAAGCCTCCCTGTCCCATCCCACCGCTGCCACGTGCTTTGCTGCGCGCCATGGTAGCGTTGTGCCTCGCATGGGACTGGCCTGATATGGCCACCCTGCTGCTTGCCGTGTTCACTATGTCCGCGAGGCCCGGTGAGTTGGCAACCGCCCGCCGGAGCGACCTCACTCTGCCCATTGACCGCCGTGAGTCCGCGGGCGACGCTTTGCTGAGCATCTCTGTTCCGGAGGCCCAGGGGTCGGGCGGAGAGCGTCAACACGCTCGGTGCTCCGACCGAGCAGTGGTCAGGATGATGGAGCTGGTCTTCAGAGATTTGACTCCCACCGATCCCCTGTTGACCTTCGGTCAAAGCGGCTTCCGTACTCGGTGGCTCGATCTTCTTTCGGCGCTGGGCGTCCCGCTCGCCAGAGCGCCATCGGGGTTCGATCTGTCCCCTGCGCTGCGCTTCAGAACCGATATTTCGGACGGCATTACTCGCGTCTTCTGGCGTGATCGCTGGCGGCAAGCTTCCAGTACGGAGCGATATCTTTACGATGTTGCCGCCTCTGCAGTCCTCCCATCATTGGCTGAAGCTGCTCGGGACCGTGTTTCTTACCTCGCCGACTCCAGCGACTTCCTCGTCGCATCCTTTCTGAATGTTGGCCCGGCTGTGTGGCCCATTCAGCTCGCGGCCGCCCGCCGAAACCTTGTCACTTCGCAAGGGCTTTGAGCCTGGGTGTGGCTGCTGCGGCCTCCCTTGGCCGCCCGGGTGCCCTCGTTGAACGAGGCCGCCTGAGAGCGTCGCACGGCCCGCCCGCGTAGGCCTGTCCCGCCTTACGGGCCGCCGCGGGCGCGCGCCGCGCGTTCGCCCTGAGACGACTGCTCACTTGCGCAGCGTGCGGGGATGCTTCTTCTTATCCCCATCGCGCCCGCTGATTGCAGTCGTCTGCAGCTTCTCGGCCCCCTCCCTCTCTCCTCCCTCCTTCTTCGAAGGCTGACCTGCGGCGCTGCTGCGGCCTCCCTTGGCCGCCCGGGTGCCCTCGTTGAACGAGGCCGCCTGAGAGCGTCGCACGGCCCGCCCGCGTAGGCCTGTCCCGCCTTACGGGCCGCCGCGGGCGCGCGCCGCGCGTTCGCCCTGAGACGACTGCTCACTTGCGCAGCGTGCGGGGATCCTCCTCCTCCTCCTCCTCCTCCTCCTCCTCCTCCTCCTCCTCCTCCTCCTCCTCCTCCTCCTCCTCCCCCCTATCTGCCTTTCTCCTTCTTTTGTGCGATTCTCCTCGTCGTCCCTGCCCTCGCCCCTCCTCGCGATGCTGGTGCTGCTGCTTGTCCTCCTCCCTTTCGTCCTTCGCTCCGTGCCGATGGCAAACCGTAGCCTGCGCTGCATGAGTTTTTGTGAGGGACACATGTGGCGCCGGCAGGGGAGTGAGAATCTCGCACTTTTCGATGAGCACACACACACACACACACACGAGCGCCCCGCGGGCCAGGGCGCCTGGGCGGCACCAGCACAGCAAAGGCTTTCCGCACAAGTTGCGGGCCTGCGAAGACCTCAAAGAGCGGTTGTTCCGAACCCTGTGCGAGTCCACTATCTCTGCCCAGGAGCGAGGGCGGCATCCCCAGTGGTTCTGACAACGAAGGGCGCTTCTCCTTCTCCCTTTCAACCCGTCCGGAGACAGTGCCCAGGCTGGTTGTTGGGAGAGGGGGGGTAAACAGGCTATATGCGCTCGTGTCATATCTGACGTCCGACCCCTCCCTCCCATCCCGTACCATTGCGTAGAGCGCCTCTTTATTCGCACAGCCGGATACCTACGAGGACAACGATCCCCAACGGGTACGCGATGCATCGCATGGCATATCATTGCATTGCATGGCGTAGGAGAGCATGGCAGTAAGTGTCATGGCATAGCATGGTGGCATTGCGTAGTCAAGCATTGCATCTCAGTTTTGCAGCGGTGCGAGGCGTGGCATCGCAGAGCGGTACATAACATAGCCTTGCATAGCATGCCATGGCATGGCACAGGATAGATAGCGTAGTATGGCACTGCGTAGCCCACCATTTCATATCGTAGCATTGCAGAACGAGGCATGACATCGCATAAGAGCAGCACATAACATAGCATTGAATTGCATACCTTTGCTGAATGGTGCAGCCGGATAACCAGTTGGAGAACCGACAATTTGGAGTTGAGGCCAGTGTTGCAGCGGGAGCGACATTCTGAATGACCGAAAAAGTGATAATGAGGCCAGCGCTGCAGCGTGAGCACAACTCGAAAGGACCGACAACGCGGAAATGATAACAACGCTGCGTGGGGAACACGGTTTAGTAGGGCCCGAAGCGAGGAAATGAGGCCAGCGTTGCAGCGGGAGTACCGTGTTGAAGGACCGGAAACGATCGGATCGGAACGACGCAAAATATAAACCAAGATTGGAAATCTTGTCTTGTTGCGTGAATAAGCAGTACGCGGAGAGGGCGGGACATTTTCCGGACAGAGTCAGAGGAGAGAGGAGAGTAGTATTCAGATTGTGTCATTGTGAAGTATACGGAAAAAAAGGGGCCTGCAATGGTGAACCCAGAGACCCCTGTAGGGCCGCCTACGATCCATTTCGATGCGATTCGATGCGCCGGCTGGGGCTGCGATTCCATTTCGATTCGATTCAGTGAGATTCACCGGTATCGGCCAGGGCCAGCCGGAGCTGGGCGCGGCGATTTGATGCCGATACGATTCTGGGCGATTCGCTGGCGATCCGACCTGTTTCCGATCCGACCCGATTTTGCAATCCCACCCGGCTCAGGCCTGCTTTTGTGGGCCTCATGGAGGCCTCGTGGCGCCATGTTCGGGGCCCTTCTCTCCCTCTTCCCCCTCCCGCCTCCGCCCCGCCTCCCTCCGTTCGGGTATAGCCCCAGGCAGGGGACCCGGTCAGTGGTAGGGTCCCAGAGCCCCCAAAAAGTGCCAGATTCATTGGACCAGGTCGGTGTTTTTCGGGTGACGGTAGTTCCGATTGGTGGAACGGGGCAGGGGGGGCGTCCCCCAGCACATGTCAGTACATGTCATTCAACCAGGTCCCACTAAACCCAGTTCTGCCAACGCCCGATCCGAGCCAGCGCCCAGACGACGACGGCGTCGGCGGCCATCACGCCGACGGCAACGGCAGAGACGACGGCGGGCGACGGCGACGAAGGCAGCGGTGCCAGCTCGCGGCCTTCTCCAAACAGGTGAGAGGGAATATTGGATCCTCGATCTTCGCTCGAAGAAGAGAAAGCGCCAACAGTTTATGTTTATGCCGTTTGTCTTCTTCTACTCGAGCCGATCGATCCTCGAATCCTCGACCGCCGCGTCGATCGACCCTCGGCCCTGGACCTCGCCTTCGCGCGCGCGCGCGCCGCGCGGCGGAGAGCGGGGAGGTCTCGCCGCCGCGGCTCCTGCCAGGTCGCCCCTCGAGCGGTCGGTCTCGCATGCCGAGGCCCCCCCCCCTGCGCGCCCGAGCGGATCGGTCAGGGGCAGCGCCGGGGGGGAGAGGGGGGGGGGAGAAGTTTCAGATTCGAGGGTCAAGGTTTTCGGGCGTTCGCGTCGGGTCGTGGCGGCCTTCAAGCCCCGGGGTGCTTCCCAGCAGCTGTGCCACGCCGAGTGCGTTCTGGGGATGCCCTAATCGCTCCGATCGGCCGCCAGGAAAAGCTGAATTTTGTGACCCAAAAACCACGAGGCAATGATGACAGCGGGGGACTGGCCCACGGGGGTCGGCCACGCGCAGAAGGGGGTAGGGGGAGGGGGGAAGGTTTCTCAGAAACACCCCCGCTTCTTACCAGGCGATCGCAAAAATGGATCAAGGGGGGCGTGGATTAGCGACGGGTCCCGTTTCCATGGGAAATCGCGGATTTTCCGCCGCCGAACGAGGCGGCATTGGCTGCATTTCGGGAAGGGCACCTCCCCGGATCCATGGATTTGGCGACCGCGCGCCAAATCCATGGATCGCTCATCCATGTTTGCGCGCCCCCGATCTTACAAGGTACGTGCCTTCCCTGTAGATGTAAGGCCCGCGCCTCCGATGGTCCACTCGTCGCCGATCGGGGCCCAGGAGCGTGCGGTCTCACGATCGGGTGGCCTCTGGCCGATCTGTGGGCGGACCCATTCCAAGTATTCCCGAGGAGGGGGAGGAGGAGGAGGAGGAGGAGGAGGAGGAGGAGGAGGAGG